AGCGTCTCTCCTGCCGTGTTCTCACCCGGCGGGTGCGGCTCTAGAGCTCTGGGGTCGCTCGTTGGTGCGACCGAGGGAGAGGAGTCGCTTAGGAAGGGACGGTGAGGGAAGGAGGTGGGGGCGTTGCGTGAAGGATGCTTCAGAGCACAGCTAGAAAGTGCTAATGCGGGTGAGCTCACAATGGCTTATGTGGCCGAAGTGCACAGTCCCTGTCAGTGGAGGCAAATCGTAAAGCTCCTGTGTGTTGGGGAGGTGGAACGAGCTGCCTGGGGAACTGGTGGAGTCTCCATCCCTGGAGGCATTCAAAAAACTTGTAGATGTGGCACTTCGGGACATGGTTTAGTAGTCGTGGTGGTGCTGGGTTGCCCATTGGACGCGATGATCTTAGAGGTCTCTTCCAACCTTAATGATTCTGTGATTCTATGTTTTTTTTCACGGAGGTTTGACTTTGCCTCTCGAAGTCTTATCTCAGGCAGGATCCTGCAGAGCAGTTGCAGTACCTGCCAAGGAAAGGTAGTTTTCAGTTTGAAGTAGAAGTTTAGGAAGGATCCGGCACAAGGATCCTTTACTGGATAAAGTCAGAGTAAGAGAAGTAGTTATTTATTAGAATACTGGGTTTTATTTTGAGTGTGTGTTGTCGTTTAAGCCGATTGGGACAAAAAACCCCATGCAGTCTCCAGCTCACTTCTCCCCCCCACCCCCATTTCCACAGTAATGTAGAGGGAGACAATTCAATTAAAAATGCTCAAGGGTTTGAGATTAAGGATGGGGAGGGTAATAACCTACCATTTAAGATGATGGGTAAAGAACCAGGGCGACTTGGGGAAAAAAACATAGATTTAATTCACTGCCACCATTTACGAAGTAGGATAGTGAGAGGAATACATCAATAAATACGGTCTAATCTTAAATACACTTTGCCCACACCCATCCCATCTTCCTGGCTACCTCCTTCCCCCCATCAGTGCAAGGAGGGGCGTGGAGAGTGCAGTCCATCTGGCCATTACTCATTGTCCGTAGCAGCTCCTACTTGAGAAAGAAGGCTCCTCGCAGTCTCTCCTTCCTGCTGTGTGGTGTCCACCTCACAGGAGGCAATCCTCTTCCTCCCTGTGAGTCTCTCAGGGCCACGGATTGCTTTAGGTGTGTCCACCACTGATGTTCAGTCTCTCCCCTCTCTTGTGTGGGGCTCTGCACGTACTAATGCATCCTGGACATTCTTGCTGCCCAATTCCCTCAGCTGGCAGGCGGTCATCTCACTGCCATCTCAGCCACGACAGGCTTCAGGGAAAGGTCCTGCTCTGGCAGCCTTCTCCCTCTTCTCCTGTGGGACTCTTCTCCCCCTCTTTCTTAGGGCAGTATTCCTTTGTTCTCCTCTCATCTCCCTTCCTCCAGCAGAAAAAATCCCCGATGTTAAAGACAGGACAACTCAAAACGAGATGAAATCAAAAGAGAGAGATAGAACAATGATATCACCTCTTAAATACCTTGATGGCAGAGGCTCTATTGGCCTGGCCCTGGCCAGAGGCAGGTCTGACTCCTACCTGGGGGGAGAGGAGGCTCTTGAAGTTTTGCACGAGGCTGCCCCTGCTTTTTCAAAAAAACCCACCAGACTCAAACCCATGACAGTGTGCTCAGAATATTATTTTGACTAACTGTCCAAAGCTGCTGGAAGCTATTACAGAAACTTAGTAATGGCATCTCCACTAGTGGTAATTCTTTCGGAAGACTAACATTCTTGATGCAACAAGCTATTTATACTGACAAGAAAAACAACTTATGATGATGCGTATGCAGAATGTAGCTCTATGATCAACCAAACTGTAGTCTGTGATGAAGAGTATTTTTTTCTCAAAAAACCCTCCAAACAAGTAAACAAGTACAAGTAAAATGTAAGGACTCAAAAGGAGCGCTATAAAGATGGAATCAGGCTCTTCTCTGTGGTTTTCAATAGCAACACAAAATACATTACTGGGTATTTATCTTAGACTGTATCTCAGTTAGAGGAGTGGTTCTTACGTATTTATCTTAGACTGTATCTCAGTTAGAGGGGTGACTCTTATAAAACCCAAGAATTGCATTAATCAAAAAACTGCATTTCTTTTTCAGACATAGGAAGTAGTGAACAGCTTTATGAATGTCCAATGTGCAGTCTCACCTGTACAGACATCCAGCTTCTTGAAGAGCACGTGGATTTACACTTACAGGAACATAGCTTTTCAGAAGGTACATAAAAATAGACAGGCTTGATAATACCTGAAAGCGTTTGCAAGTATTTGGATGTTGCAGTATAGAATCTCAGATTAAAATTAAGCTAATTATTTTCTTACTTAAAAAGGGAACTGGACACATATGTAATGAAGCTAACATAGTTAACAGCAAGTCCTATCCCTTGCCCAGGTGTTCTACTTAATTACACATACTAAAAGTAGTCTTTGTCTATGCATGCTTGTTACGTAAATGCACTGTATGTTAGGCAAAACTAAAATATGGAGTGAAAAATACTTAGAAGAGAGTCATGTCATGTAGTTTTTTTCTAGCTCTTTCAAAGGTTTACATATATAATAGCACATTCCAGTGTGATGAGCTGAAAATCTAAAGCTTTTGAAAATTTAGGGGTTTTTCTTTGCCTCAATTCCTTTCTCTAAAAGCTTGTGCTTATTCATTAGTCATAATGATAAAGTAGGGGACTCAAAATTAATTTTACTAATTAGCATGGCTAATAAAATCCTAGAGATTCCCTTTTCAGTTTTCTGGTCCTGAATTTATTTTTGTCACTTTGTTAAGAGATTGCTGGCTGAAGCAAGTAAGTGTGTAGTATTCAAGAAGTAGGGACTTCTTGCTAACAATGAAGCATAGTAAACAAAAGCTGTTTTCTTAGTAGTAGAGGTACATGCATTATTTGCAAAGTAACTGCATAATCTTTGTCCAAGTCAAGAGTCTGAATCTTTGTATATTGAATGCAGTCAGTCCTGTTTAGTGTTCATTGCTAATAGCTCAGAATCATGTGGGAAGCAACTCCTAAAGCAAATGCTTAGAGAAGAATCTTTAAAAATGAAATACGTGAGCCATCAAAGCATGGTTGATCTCCTGATCAAGTCCTCTCTGGAATGTTACTCCTGGGTAGGTGGAAACATAAGAGATCTAGAGCTGGCTCACCAGCTCCAAATTGAAGAAGATGAACGGCAGAGATCAGAAGAGGAGAAGCGAGAGAGGGAAGAATTTAAGAAGCTGCAGGTACAGTAATATTTCTAAATGGTAAAATTTTGAAAGCTTGTGCCATCAGGAGCTGACTCTCTTCCTGGATACCATCACTTGCTCCAGCAACTGATCCCCTACTAGGTCCTGCTTCCCTCTCCCTCGCACCTGACAGCCCTGATAGCTCATTTCCCTCTCTCACTACCTCCTGGCCATGGACTGCCTCTGGGCCATTGGCTGGCTGCCCAAGGGGAAGCAGAGGGATGTGCCTGCACTGCCAGGTGTGGCTTTTCTAGTCTTGCCTTCAGCTCTAAAGTATCATGAATCTGAGTTTTTCTGTCTCACAGATTGCTGTTTTTCAGTGATTGCCCATGTAGCTTCTCAAAATCACTAAATGTGAATTTAAAAAAAAAGTGCTTTAAGTCATGCCCGTTCCATCCTCAACAGAGACAGTATGGCTTGGATAATTCCGGAGGCTACAAGCAGCAATTCCTAAAGAATATGGAAAAGGAGGTTGATAGAGGAAGGATGCAGCCTTTTGAATATCACAAGCGAAAAGCTGACATGATGGATTGTTTGGCTTTTGGTATAGACGATGGGAAAACAAAGACCTCAGGTAAAAATGCTGAAATTATAGACAATGAAGACTGTGCTTTTTAGATCTAGGTTGCCTAGACCTGTCTTTAACAAAGCGTGTAATTGGATATTGAATATTAGTTGCATCCTTATTCTAATTCTTATATTCTAGAGCATTCCCAAGCATGGTTTTTCATGTAACAAAGGAAAATTTGGAATATTATGTGAGCGCATTAAAAAAAAAATATATTTACAGTAATTCTCAGATTCTGTGCCACTCCTTTTCCTGTCTTAGGTTCTTCAGGAAAAATAATTTTGTGGGAATAAAATGATTGCATGATATGCATAAGCATTTCAGTGTTTTTAAAGGGATGTTGTAATGGAGGTGGCAGTGCCACAGTAATGCTTTATTGGTGACATTACTTTTCCTGTTTCATTGTGATAGTATCACAGTTTATGATGTAGTCCAAGCTGTTTAATTTAAAATATTCATTGTGTAGCAGTAGTGAAAAAATACCTTGAATTCTGAAACCTTCATAATATAAAAAAATCAAAGTAAGGACTGTGGAAAAAAATAGGTGCAATGTCCACTGGTTTAAGCTGGAGAAAGAATCTTTCTCTGGCAAATTTTGTAGTTCCTTTTACAGATAAACTTTATGTTTGACTTTTTTTTTTTTTTTTTAGGAGTCATTGAAGCATTATGCAAGTACTATCAGAGCGAAAACAAAGATGTGAGGCGTGTATGGCTTTCTACAGGAGTGGATCATTTCCAGTCATCTTTGGGTGACAGAGGCTGGGGTTGTGGTTACAGGAATTTCCAAATGCTCCTTTCCTCACTGTTGAAAAACAGCTTGTATAATGACTGCTTGAGAGGTATTAAACTGAACACTGCCTGTTTGCTTCATGTAGCTGAGATGACAACTGACTGACTAATGCTTTACCTTTTCATGTACACAGCAAGACTTGCTAGGTCAATGATACCTATTAAATGCTTATAACACAGTAATAATGCTGTGGAAAGAATCAGGGGTGAAATACTGCTGAGGTATGATGTGGTTGAAGTTTTAGCTTTTTTTTTTTTCTGGTGCATCTGTATCACCAACTGCCTCTTAAAAAAAGAAGCTACATATTTTTAATTGATAGACTCTTTCAGTAACTGTAACCACAATTCAAATCTGTTCCAGATACTACACTCATTCCTAGTGTACCAAAGATTCAGTCCATGATTGAAGATGCCTGGAGAGAAGGCTTTGATCCTCATGGGGCATCTCACTTCAACTACAAACTACATGGCTCCAAAGCGTGGATAGGAGCATGTGAAATTTATTCACTGTTAACCAGTCTCAGGATAAAGTAAGTATTGCTTTTTGTAGTTATTATTTTTAAGTACCAGTTTGTGCTGTACCTTTAAAGGTCACAAGATGCTGGTGGTGCGATGACAAAGCCACCACACTGACCTATAGATGGATCTGATTTAACACAGTGTAATGCAGTTAGCACAACTTAGGCAGATACATAAATTGAATAACAACCTAGATCACTGAGACTTGGTGAAGAGTTATGCCACATATGCGTAAAATCAAACATTGATTAAAAACTTAATTTCTCTTGAAGTTTCATCTCAGGAATCTGAATTTTAGCTATTCGCTTGCCTAATTCTGAAAGCTGTTAATGGGATTCTCTAGTGTGTATTATCACACAAAAAAATAGAACATTTTAATTTTTGCAAACTTCACAAGTTCTTGTTAGACTGAACAGGGCAGAGTGTTTGTTACAGAATAAATCTTCTAGTTTTGAACAGTATATATTGCATTGCTTTTTAATTATGTGTCCCCTCCTCCTGTAATTTAATTAAAAAAAATATGGTAGTGACTGCCTGATGCATGGAATTGCTGCATTTACAAAACATTTTTGATGCAACAGGAAAGGACTGAGAGGTGAAAAAGATCCTTTAACAAACTACCTCCTTGAAGTTGTATTGTTATTTTTATTCTGAATGTTCTGTAGGTGTCAAATCATTGACTTTCACAAACCAACTGGCCCTATGGGTACACACCCTCGTTTATTCGAGTGGGTTTTACGTTACTATTCTACAGATAACGAAGGTGGTGCAAAGGTAGTGTGTACTTCCAAACCACCCATCTACTTGCAACATCAAGGTGAGTATCACAATATGCCAATTTCTTTCTCTTCTTTCTTTCTTTCTTTCTTTCTTTCTTTCTTTCTTTATATGTGCTGCCATTCAGAACAGCATTTTACGTTTCTTCTTCATTTAAATGAAGGCCTGGCTTTTTCTCTTTTTTATTCAGTAAGAGGAACATTAAAATATGTAATTTGATTGGATGGAGGAGCTGGGTTTGCCTGAGATCTCAACTTTTTGACATCTGCTCTTATAACTATCTTATTCAATTTCAAGTACTATCTTTTGTTATCTGAAAATAAGTAATATGCTATGAGGAGTAGGACTTACGTGTTTTTAAAATACTATAATTCTATTTTGAAATTAGGTCATAGTCGTACTATTGTTGGAATAGAAGAGAAGAAGAATAAAACCTTATGTTTGCTACTTTTTGACCCGGGATGTACTTCCCAAGAAATGCAGAAACTGCTAAAACAAAACAGTGATGGTACTAGTCTCAAACTACTTCGAAAATTTGTGGGTGGCTTAAAAGAAAAGCAATACCAGATAGTGGCTGTAGATGGTGTACTCTCACTGGAAGAGAAAGCTGTGAGTATTTCAGAAAATAGTTTATGTCTAAGAAAATTTAAGAGAATCCGTATCTGTTCTTTAATACTTACATGCAGATATGGTTGTGTGGTGAATTTTTTTCATCTCTTCACTTTCATCATTTTGGGGTTTTTTTTGTTTTCCCTGTTACTTTCTGCTTATTTTCTGTGAATGGAGTAATTGCAGGATATCAAACCAGAAGTTTTGTGTGTAAATGCATGCCGCCTTGATGTAACTGACAACTTCCAAGTCTTTTACGGAGCTTGCAGCTGTTTGCAAGTGCAAATTAGACGCTTTTTTAAAATTTTCATTTTCTTAGAATATTTTCTCTTAACTTATTGTGGGCATATAAGGTGCTTACAAAGTTGGACAAGGTGCGTAGCTACTGAGGCCTGACCATCCAATGGCTTCTCGGCTTGGACACTAAAACTAGTGCATTTTGCTTTCTGAAAGTAGTTAGAACTTCGTATATTCAGAACAAAGCTCTGAGCAACTTAGGTGTTTGAGCTGTCAGTATTTTTATAAAACTTATCCGTGGTTCACTTTGGGCACTGTAATTTTTTAAGAACTTCGAAGTTTTTAGCTGAGTGTTAGATGTAATTTTTGTTTCTTAAGCTTTCTCTTTCCCACACTAACAAACGGATTCTGAGGAACCGTGTTCCAAATCTGTGATGTCTTCTCAGCAATGTTAGACATGTTCAAGCTTCAGGACAGACTTTTATTTAAACTGTGAAATAGCTGGTGACTGAGTCACCTGCTCAACTGTATTTAACAGCAGTACATTTAGATGAGATATTGTCTTTTAAGTGTTTCCTGGCCCTGAACTTGTTTGAAATAACAGTGAAACACAGCTGACCTCGCTTCCTACTGCTAGTGAAAGCTGTGCAATTCAAGACACAGTAAAAGGAAGAGTGTTGTATGGGATTTGTGGGGGGGTGTTTTTTTTTTCCTCTTCTCAAAGATTTGATTTATATTTACAAATATCAGTAATATATAGTTTTGTCTTGAAAACTCTCATTTAATTAGGATGAAATATAATCCCTTATACTTGTTAAGTTTACTAAATTACTCATCTGAAAAATGCTCTTTAAAGTGGTATTTTCATTTATTAAACTATTCTCTTTCCTCTCTCCCCATGCTTGTTTTTGTTGTGTTTTGTTTTTTATTTTAGGCTTGCTGCCATTCTTCTCAGGTCTTAACATCAGAGAAGATTCCTTAAAGCATGCCTTTATTACCTCTTCCTGGAATTTGCTGGATGTAAATCATTAAACTTCTGGACTGTGACTCTAATTCAACAATTACTAGACTTAAAGCTGTGTCTCTCTGTGTGCATGGGGGCTCTGGAGAAACACAACACTGGAGTAGTTTTGATTTTCAGTCAAAACTCTGCCCTCCTGACAAGTCTGTAACTCTTAAGTGTTACAGTCTTTGTCGTACTTTTGTAGTTACTCAAACTACGAAGCAACGCCCACCATCCTACAGCGAACTATGCACCATTGTTAACTGTCAGTAAGCGGAGGATAAAGATACTACGGAACTATTTTACTGGAGTGCCTGGTCATAGTTTACCTCTGTAAATATATTTATGCTGCCTCTATGGCCAGTGCTCTCTTTCTTACCAAATTTGATCAACAAGATCTATTAGAAACTTCTCCTGAAACTATTGGCAAAGTACAGAGACAGTTCAGTGAGTTCATGATACAGTCTGTTCCACCAGGGATTAATCTGCTACTGAACTACTTTTCAGTCAGCTGGCTTCTCTGGACGTGTCACCTGTAAATGTGACCATATGTGCTTACACAGTGGGTCAGTGTTAGCACTGGCTGTGAGGTCTAAGACAGTGATGTCCGAAGTGGGCTGTGTGTGCTTTAGGAGTTGCACAAGACAATCTGTTGGGATACAGGAAGAAAATATTTCTTTTATACTATGAATAAATAAAGTTTTGAGAATATTTTTTAAAAGTATTTAATCTTTTATTTCATGCTTTTTCTTAATTTCATTTTTGTGTGGTTTTTTTATAATCTCTTATCACCTGGGTCTCAGAGGTGTCTCAAAAGGGCATTTAAACTGACTGTTGCCTAGGGGCTCTATTGTGCAGGGTTAATGATGGTTAAGAGACTGGAGCTGTCTGCTGAAACAATTATCTTGGACATTTGAGGCACTCCTATGTCTAGGGCATGCTGCTATGGCTGAATGTAAGAGTCTGGCTGAAGGCAGCAGGGCAGCTGGAGGCTGGGAGGGACAGTCAAGTGTGTTGTGAGTAGCACTAGGTGCTTCTGCTGAAACAACTGAATCATGCCATAGCATCCATTTACTGTAACTAGAGCTTAGATACTTCTCTGTCATTTAGACCCTTTACACATTGACATCTAGATGTAGGGGCTAGGGAGTCTTGCCATTAACCTGTTTCTCTCATGTTCTTATTTCCAAAGCATATTAAACCCAGTAATTTTTTGAAATAGTGAAACACATGAACATGTAAAGATCAGTAATTTTCCTGAAACATACATGAAAGTAAAAAATAATTATGAAAATGCATTAAATAGGTATGTAGAGGTGGCATATAACCCATTAAAGGGTTAAGTATTTAAGACAGTGGAGGGGCCAAGGCTAGGAGAGAGTTCATGGGTGTTGGGGGACCATCAGCTCCCATATTTGCCCTGGTCTGCACGGCAGACGTTCTTACACTCTGAAGTTTTGCAGCCATGCGATCATTTAACCTCTTGCTGATATACTTCAGTCTCTTCTGCCTATTTCCGTCACTGCCCCTATGGCTGGGGCTGAGTCTGGTCCTGGCTAAGGCTCTGCAAATTCCAGACTGAGCTTGTGCTTTACCAGTGTGGCGCTGTGCCCAGATGTGTAAGCCCAAGAAGCAGGAATTGAAGCACAGCCCCCAGCTCTTCACTTACATGTACAAAGGGCTGTTGGGACTAAGCCAGTGTTTCAGCGAGATGCTGTCAGAGCAAATTTCAGATATCTTTGTGTTGCCTTGTATGTGTCATTTGCTTCCTGCATAATTGCCATGGGGCAGCTGAATTCTCAGTGAGCAGCAGAGTGGGGGTCTTGCTTGATCCAGCTGAAGATGCCTCTGTGAGGGCTCTTGCAACGAGGATTTGTGGCACCACCTGGGTGGTAATCAATCATTTGAGGTATTTAATTCCTTGTGTAAGCAGGCCCTTATGCCGAGATCTCAATCATTTTTGTTGTCTTTTGTTTTTCATT